TGAAAGTAGGGCCTCAACCGCCGGGCAGAAACGACCAGAGCCAAAGCCAGCTGCTCGAGTGGGGGGTACCGAGACTCTGCCCCCTGAAGGGCCTTGCTGACGTAAAAAATGGGTAGCTCCGCCCTCTCAGGTATGCGTATTAACACTGAGCTGACGGCAGTGTTGGATACCGATAGGTATAAGGAGAGTATTTCCCCAGGAAGATGTTTGGAGAGTAGCGGTGCTCTGCCCATATAGTCCTTCAAGTCTTGAAACGCCTTATCGCATTCGGCAGTCCACTCTATATGGTGTTTGCCCCCTTTCAAGGCTTTGAAGAACGGTCCACACTTGTCTGTGGCTTTGGAGATGAAGCGAGTGAGGGCTGCCACTCGTCCGGTAAGGCTCTGGATGTCCTTCTGTGTCTTCGGCACCTCCATGTCGATTATGGCCTTGATTTTATCGAGGTTTGCCTCAATACCCCTCTGGCTGATCATGAAACCGAGGAATCTCCCGGAAGATACGCCGAAGGCGCACTTTGTCGGGTTAAGTCTCATTCGGTAATCCTTCAAGATGCCGAACATGAGCGATAGGTTTTTCAGATGCTCGCCTGGCGTTCGGCTCTTTACTAGCATGTCATCCACGTAGACCTCCATGGTGCTGCGGATCTGCTCAGCGAAGATTCGGTTGACCAGTCTCTGATAGGTTGCCCCCGCATTCTTCAAGCCGAACGGCATGCCGTTATAGCAATACAGGCCTTTGTCTGTCATGAACGCCGTGTGTTCGCTGTCGGCAGGGTGCATGAAGATCTGGTTATATCCAGAGTATGCGTCCATAAGCTGAGCAGCTCGTGACCGGCAGTGGCGTCAACCAGCTGATCGATGCGTGGCAACGGGAAGCTATCCTTCGAGACCGGCAGTTCCGGTTGACGCTCGTCCAGCGCCACCGTTTCGAGATCTTCGGCAGGTTGTGCCACCAGGGTGGGCATTTCCTCCCTTGGATCGTCTACTGGTTCATTGCCGTTCGGCAAGTCTGTGACCGTGAAGGTTTCCTTTTGCTTGTGCGGAGCTGCCGATTTCAACGCTGTGGCGTAGCAGTTCCGAGCGCTCAATTGATCGCCCTTGATTGCCCCCGTGCCGTAGCAGGTTGTGAACTTCATGAGTAGCATGTGGGGGACAAGTGGGCCTTTATTGCCGTGAGCGCCGTTCGGTCGATAATAACGTTGTACGCCGTAGGACAGTCCACCCCAAGGAACTGGTCGTAGACCATGGTCCTTCGTGGGGCTGTGCCGAAAGAGATTGGCAGACTGACACTGCCGATTGGCTGGACCAGGTCTCCCGAAAAGCTTAGGAGAGGAGAGAGTTGCCGATTGACCTGGCTGTCATCTATCCCGAGTTCTTTGAATGCATCGGCGAAGATGACGTTTACCGAACTCCCATTGTCGATCAGGATTCGTCCGACATCGAACTCGGCAATCTCGGCTCGGATGATCATAGGGTCGTTATGTGGGTAGATGATCCCTTCCTCTTCTTCCTCGGAGAAGGTGATGGGTTCCCACCTGACCTTCAGCATCTTTGTGTGGCGGCTACTTTCAATGCCGAGGACTTGGTGGTACTGTGCCGCCCTGACATACTGCTTTATCGACCGGTTAGATGCTCCGGCAAGGGTTAGGCCTCCGCTGATCGTGCTGATCATGTTGATCTGCCGATTAGCGTTCGGGACTGGCGCCTGTTGGGGCATGGCTATGTATTGATCCAGTTTGCCTTCCCGAATTAACCGTTCAACGATTTTTCGCAAACTTATGCAGTCTCGGTATTGTGGCTCTGCTGATGGTATCGGCAGAATTTTCCTGTATCCCTGCCGTCCTGCCGATTAGGCTTTCTGAAAGATGGCTTCGGGATTATCTCGTTTTCATTCATCAGCACCGCCTCATAGGAGGTGTTGAGCAGGGTGAACACCTCTGTCCCCTGGTTATGTGCCGGTAGTGGGGCTCGGTAGTTGTCCCTGTCGTACCTGCTCTTGTTTTTCTTGGAATGCCCCATTTGGGAGCTTCCGGCATCTTTGCGCTTGTGGCTTTCAAGGTGTCCGGCAGTTTGTGCTGCTGGAGCGAACGACGATGCATGTGCCGCGGAGGAACGCCGTACGGGTTCGCTCTGCTTAGCCGTGGGCTCGGCCCTCGAGTTGAAGTATTCAGCTTTGGCGTGGATTGCCGCTTGTTTCATGAGTTCATCGTACGTACGCCAATTGCTGCTGTGTACCAGATACCGAAAGTGTGAGGACCGTAGGCCACTCTTGAAGGCGCCGTAGGCTGCCCTGTCATCGGTATCCGGACATCTCGAGTATTCATGGCTGAATCGTGCGGCATACTCACGCAATGGTTCGTCATCTCTCTGCCGGATGGTATACAGGTCGTCGGCGGAGTATAGTCTGTCCGTCTGAATCATGAAGTGGTTCAGGAAGATTTGCTTCAGCTCGTCGAAGGAATCGACCGTCCATGGTTCCAAACGGTAGAACCAATTTAGAGCTGCTTCCGTGAGTGAGGAAGGGAACAGAAGGCACAAGCCTTCGTCTTTTAGCCCTCGGCACCCCACTGCCGATTGGAAAGAATGAAGGTACGTCAGTGGATCCTCCACCCCTGTATAAGGGGTTATGCGTAGGGGCTGTACGTCCCTATCCTGCCGTGAGTGCCTTATGCGCTCGGTAAAGGGTCCTGGCCGAAGCCTTCCCCAGTCCGGCTCCTGAGAGCGAGTTCGATCGTCCTCCATCTTCTGCACCCTCTGAAGGAGAAGGCGAATGACAGGGTCCCTGTTCGGTATCTCCTCTGCAATCTGGTGTACCGATCGCTGCTGGGACTTAACAGGATTGACCTCAGAGAACTTCGTCGGGGTTGCCGAACGGTAGGACGATGACCGGTTTGCGGTATCCTTCGGATCGGGGACTTTCTCCCCAGGCCCCTTAGTCGGGGATCATCTAGGTGTGCGTTGATCCTGATAGGCGATTCCTGCCGTTCGGTGTGTCGTTCGACTTCCCGTTCCAACAACCTATGGCGGCAATCGGAATAAACCTTCTTTGGCACGTGGGGCCTATTTTTCGGGGCCGGGACCACCAATTGTTTAGATGGCGCAGGCGCAGGCGTTGCCTTTGCTACCCTCTTTCCTTTCTTCTGCCGGCGGGGGGTCTGTAGGCTTTCTGACGATCGATCTGTCTGAATGTTTTGCGTTTGCTGCTGGTTCAGCCGCAGTTGTGTTTCTTCCACTCTGGTCGAGAGGAGATTATTGTGTTCTTGCATCCTAGCCATGTCCTGCCGAAGGGACACGACTTGGGCTAAAAGCTCCGCGTTTTCGGCGGATTGGGTTACAGGGGGATTAGTTGCCGGGGTGTATGGGGCTGGCGCAGGGCTAACCCTGCTTGGCCTGCCGAACGGCATCCCCTCCCGCGGTACGAACGTAGTTTTTTCAGTGGTACCCATATGTTCGGGATAAATGGTCGATTTTATCGTTTCCCACAGGCGGCGCCAAACTGTTGACGCCAAAAAGTGGTTCTCTGACTTTGAGGGTCAACTTAGTAATTTTATGCCTTCGGTATCCTTGATGCCTCGGTAGTCAATCATGATCTGCAATATGAGCAAACGCACGGTAAGACCTAGGGCACCGGTGTGGTACCGGCCGAAGGCTCTCCGATGCTTAAGTAAGTTCGGGAATAGAAAGTTCAACTGACAGATCAATAGGCTTGTATGCCGTTAGTTCTGATTACCTCCATTTTGGGGTAGTTGGCCTCCTTTTATAGGTCTTGGGAGGTGTGCATTTTGTTGATTATTTCGATGTGGGACTGTGGGCGTCGCTTGGGAGCGTGCCACGTGTCCCAGGAGAGGGCGTTGCCCTAGTGGGGAGATCGGTAGGTAGAGTGCTGAGGGCGCCCCTGAGCAAGCATCACTTCTGCCACGTGTCTTGCTCTTGTTGGCTGTTTATTTTGGGTGTAAACAAATGTCAAATTTTGCACATAAAAAATGGTCCTTGTCGTCACCTAGCTATTATCCAACATATCATTAAAAATAGTAACGTGTGGTCACATGCCATTTTCAAGGGTCATTTTTGTCCAAATTCGTCTCTTTCGATCTAACCCATGATTTAGGGCAATGTCTATAGTGCACCAGGTGTACCGATACACCCAGTTTTTTTTAAAATCATGGGTACTAATTATACAAGTTATCAAGTTTCCACCTTTGGTTAATATTTAATGCAAATGCAATTGCATAAGGGTCATGCAATTACGACCTCCCTATTTGGCAATTGACATAAGCTTTGACATGTTATTTTTCAATTGAATTTATTCTATTTGACTCATGATGGCATGCTTATGAATTTCGCAATGACATTTGTTTACTTTTATAAATCTAAAGTTACCGTTTTAGACTATCTTTTTTTATGAGAACCGTTTTAGACTCTCTTTTTTTTTTTTCCTAATTTCAATCCTTCACCTCATTGTAGCTTTACTCAATTTCATTATGATAGTTGGTGGCTTTATTTATATAAATTCTAATGTTTGGTTGTGGTTAATTCCTCTGTATTTTATGTTTAGTTTTTAAAAATCAATTGAGGCTGATAGTTTTAATTTTTGTTTCTTGTGTTTCATAGAATTGGTGAATGCACATTAATATTTATTTGAGAGCTTGGAAGTCTTTATCCATCAAATTTCTTCACCTCGAGTTTTGTCTATATAATTGGTTTAAAAGAAGTGTTGGCACTAAAACTGAACAGATAGAGATAAGTGCAACTTACAAGTGATACGGACGATCTTAGAGATCGATTGGGTGCTAGACGCCGATTCTTCCTGTCCTTGGATGCTGATCCTGAATAGAAGGAAGACGGGATTCGTAAGGTCTATGGAACCGGTGTGGAACCAGCTTAAGACCCTCCGATGCCGAAGTAAGTTTGTTTTCTGAGAGCTTTTGCTGTTGACAATATATTAGTATAAAAGTCAAACTGAAAAGTCTTACCCCTGTATTGTAGTGAAGGAGCCTATTTATAGAGGGCATTTTGTATGCTCTTGATACTTAATTTCGATGTGGGACTCGTGGGAGGGCCCTATGAGGTTGACACGAGTCCCTGGATATTTCGGGCGGGTGCTTCGAGGTTGATTCTGCAGAATCAGTAGGGGATACCGATTGTAGACTGTGTTAGGCCTGTAGCGACCTTTTGCTGCTTTAAGACAATATCATCTGTTGGCGATGCTGATTGTTCGGAGCCTTGGGCACTTGGGGAGTTTAAGTGATCCACGTGTCAATGGATGAGTGGAGGATCAGATATGGTACTAACAAGAAGAATATCCAATAAATACAAATATCCTTGTTCATGTTCACATCAATACAAAATTGTTAAATAAGAATATCCTATAATAGATATTGCACTTTATAATCAATATATAATACACATTTATGGTATTTACATATAATATATATAATTTCAATTAAAATATTTGAAATTTTATATAAGTATGTAACATTAAAAAATACTAAATGAGGTAATGAAGGGGAAGAAAGTAATTGAGTTACCAATCTCTTTGCTTCTCATGTACATTCTATGTGTAAGACCCGTGTCTTGGGGAAACAAGAACGGTGAGCAATCCCACATCGCTCGGGGAGGGAAATGTGAAGTGCTTAAATGTGTGGGCACTTCTCTTTCTAGCACGAGGCCTTTTGGGAGCTCACTGGCTTCGGAGTCGTAGGAACTCCGAAGTT